GGGGGGGGGGGGGGGCTGTGCCGATGGCTACAGCTGGCCCAGAGCGGGCTAGTGCAATGTGAGAGGGGAGCAGTGCCTGGTGGGAGCACTGGGGGCCTCCAGCCAACGCCAACACCCCCATTCCCACCACTGGGCTGGGACACACCGCTGGAATTTCCACCCCGTGCTGCCTGACCCCTCTCTCGCTCCTCCTGCGTGTCACCACCGAGGGGGGGGCAGGGAGAACCCCTTTTAGAAGCAGCTCATCACGTCCAGGAGTTGCTGTCGAGAGTTGATGAACAAATGCTTTTTTTTTTTTCTGTTGTTGTTATTGTTGTTGGGTTTTTTTTTTCCATCACTGAAGTCTCCTGCCACTTGCATGGGGTTTGGAAGCATCACTACTGTCCTGAGCAGGGAGGCGGCCTGTGCAGAGGAAAGGTGTCTCCTAGGACTTGCCTTTTTTTCCTCTGGAGTCGTTGTCAAGTGAAGCGTAGCGGGATGAGATTACTCTTGTATATTATTATGTGTCTGTGAACTAACTACAGCTGTTACTGGAAGCTAATTTACTATAACAGGGGGGGGAAGAAGCAATACTACTGCGTCCTGGCACTCGAGCTCGATACTACGGTGTACAATTTGTACCTCCCTACACCTCTTTGCATGCATCTCGTTCACAAATGCTTACTTCCCATTTTCCTCTTTTTTTTTTTTTTTTAAATTGTTCTTTGTGTTTTTACTCCGAGACGTAAACTTTTAAACGCAGCTTGTTCTATGTTTAGTTTTTGTTCGTGGAAGGAATTGTTTAACTCATAACTGACAACCATACTTGTAATTACGACGTGATTGACTGATATTCCTGTACAAATGTTGCTTTTTTAAAATTAATACAGTGCTGATATGGATGGATTACATCCCAACTTAATTATGGCTGGTGTGGTTATTCCTAGATGGGTTTCCCTAAGACAAATCTCTGCAGGGCATAGAGAGGTTCCACAAAAGGTGGTGAACCAGGTCCTGCTGACAACTGGTAGACACCTGTACTGAAACCCCTGGTGCTGATGGTCACGAACAACTCGGAGGGGGAGCTACCACCTTCCAGGAGGAGGAATTTCAGGTGTAATGGCCCTGTAAAAGTTCTGCTTTGCAGATGGGGATGGACCAGGGCACATGGATAGGTTTCTATATCCCCGTTTTGTTTCTCTTCCTGCTCCACCAACCTCTCCCTCAAGGATTCAGGCTCTTCCTGCTCCTCAGGAAGGACCCCAGGCACGAACAACTCGGAGGGGGAGCTACCACCTTCCAGGAGGAGGAATTTCAGGTGTAATAGCCCTGTAAAGGTTCTGCTTTGCAGATGGGGATGGACCAGGGCACACGGATGGGTTTCTACATCCCTGTTTTGTTTCTGTTCCTGCTCCACCAACCTCTCCCTCAAGGATTCAGGCTCTTCCTGCTCCTCAGGAAGGACCCCAGGCACCGGCCTTCCTGCAGATCAGGGCACAAATCTTCCCTGTGCATCCTCCCCTTTCCCTGGGAAACCAGGCAGGGGCTTTTGGGGGGGGCAGCTGGAATCTGCTTTTGAAGCCGGGAGCTGAGTCAAGGGGAGGAGCGCGGTTGGAAGCGCTGTCACAGATCTGTGAGTCACCCGCAGGTGTCTGTGAGTGGAGAGACAGCAAAAGTAATAAAGGGAATTAAAAAAAACAAACCAAAACAACCCCAAAAGAAGTCCCCGTTAACTGCCAAGCTGGAGAAGCCCCTTAAATTTAAAAAAAAAAAAAAATCCAAAGGGATTCTGTTACCAAAAGAAGTCCCCGGTAACTGCCAAGCTGGAGAAGCCCCTTAAATTTAAAAAAAAAAAAAAAAATCCAAAGGGATTCTGTTTAACTCTTTATTTTCCATACATTAAATTTACTCAGATAAAAACATTCTAAAAATGTACAATTTTACTTTTAACAAAGTATAATAAAACATAAAAATCCCAATACCAGAATACTTGACATTTACAATTCAAAATCAAATTAGCTGAATATTAAATATTTACAAAACTATTTAAAATATTTATAAAGTTACATGCACAATTTGTAATACTAGAATTGACCGAAGTAAAAGAAATGGCTCAAATGGGAGCAGGAGTTTCCTTCATTCCTAGTGGAAAGTTCTGTCCAAGAGAAGCTGTTAAATCTGCACTTGAAAACACGCAGGATCTGCTTTTCTGCTTCGGTACCAACGCGGTTTTCTTGCTCACGTCAGAAAGAAATGTAAGAGAGCAAAGGGGTAGTTCCAAGGGTTGGTGACAGGAGATGGTGACAGGCAGGGGACGTCTCGGTGTCGAGACTCCCCAGAGTGCTCCGATTTCTGCCCAGGATTGCCCACATCCGTCTGATTTCAGAGCTGTTCCAGCCCACCCCGAATCATCCACAGCTCCCAGCGTCCGTGGCCTCCAGGGAACAAACACAGCCAACCCCTGCGTGGGGGTTTCAGAGGATGTCACTGTTATTTCGGGGAGGGGGCTCTGCTGAATGCCACAGATGGTGGGTCGTTTTTGAGTGCCTTCACCCTGAAAAGCTCGTCAGCCAGAAATAGCGTGAAACAGGATTTTTTGGGGTAACGGGAAAGGTCTAGTGCTAGACTGTTATTTTCAGAAGTCTGGCGTTTGATTTGCCAAGATGCAATGACCGTGGCGTGAAAAAGTTTCACAAAAAGTGGAGTGTGCCGTGTTATTTGAAGGAAGAAGGATTGTGGAACTCTCTGATCGATACCTCGCTCAAATGAGGCTTCCCTCTTCGCTCTCCCGCTGCTCAGCGTCGAGCCCGGCAGAATTTCTTAATGCTTAATTTGCAGATTTGCCAGGGTGAGGAGGAGTTTGCTGGAAATTCCATCCTATTTCGAGTGTTTCCGTCGCCGACCCCTCTGAGAGGGCACCGCGCGTCGCTCGCTCCCCTGAGGGACGGCTCATCGCTCCCTCCTCCCTGTCCCTGCTGGGGGGACGACTCGGGATTCCCTTCCCTCTCAGGCTTAAAAAAATCATTTCTATTCCACAGTGAAATCCATTTTGAGAACTAATTCTTTGTTATACTTTCAGGACAAAGCTAGGAATAAATAGCATTCTTTGAAATCTCCATCTTTCAACGTATAAAAATAGGTTTTAAGAACTGGTTCTTGCAGCCGGTGAAGCTGGAGCTACTATTCTAAAAGAAGCTGCCTTTTTTTTTTTGAGGGGGGGGGGTGGGGGGATAGATGGATTTGTGCCTTTTAAAAACAGAGTAAGGATTATTTTTATGGAACTAAAGTGCTCTGTTGGGACTTACCAGCTTTGGTGGCTCTGGGTGCGCAGCGGAGAGCGTTGAGGAGCAGATCTGGAGCCACGACTGGCCCGGGCTCAGGGAGGGCTCTGCCATCGCTGCCGGCTCAGCAACCACTTCCCTGTTACACTCAGGGTGCTTTATGGGGCTCAAAACTCGCCAAATTCAGACTTAACTCTTAAAACCAGACTTCACCATTTAAAAACGTTACCTTAAAAGCACACAGAAGCCACTCGAAGAAACATCAGCCTTAACTTTACACAAAGGAAACAATCCCAAAGCAAGCTCTGGAGAAAGGAATGGAACAGTTTGCTGGACACAAGTTCGGTTTTACAGTCCTTTTCTTACGGTTTCGACTCCCGTGATGAATATCAGACGAGACTGTGCCCAACCTTGGGCAGTAAAACAAAACACAACCCCTACAGAAATTATTCTTTTTTTTTTTGCTGTTGATTTTTGCTATTTTGAGAGGGTTTTGAACACTTGCAGGTGTGTCGAAATACAGTTTATTTAAATACAATTCAGTTTTAAAATCTTGTTTTAAAAAAGTGAAAAAAAAAAAAGAAACAAGAACAAAAAAGGTTAAGGTTTGGCTTTCAGCACATGTTCCAGGCCACTGGAGAGACCCTCCAAGCTGTGAAATCGTAAACATCGTCACTGAAAACTGCGCGTTTCCTTCGGCGTAATACAGTATGACAGACTGTTCCTACCATTGTCTCGAGCTCATTAAGGCAAAGTAAATTGCATTGTCAGTTTTCATCACTTTAGTGTTGTCGGTCTTGGTCGGAACAGGGGTAACCTCCTCTCACACACAGGCAGAGCCCTGTGTGCGATGCTGCGGGGGCGGCAGCCGGGCTGAGAATACACAAATCAGGATGGGTTGGTTGTTTTTTTTTTTTCATTGCATAGGAATAAAAATTAATCTTTTTTTTTTTAGTTTTAAAAAAACCCAAATGTTAGGCAAATTTAGCTTTTTGAGCTGCAGATCGCTCCCTGGAGCCAGCGGGGTGTCTGGTCACCTCGTGTCACCCTGCCTCCCCGGCGATGCTCCGTTCTCCTGTTGACCACCCACCACCTGAATGGTGGCACAGAGCATTTCTTTCCTATGACCGTGGTCCAGGGAGGTCTTGACTTGTTGAGCTACCACGTTTCCCCCTCCTTGGACATTCCATGGCCAAGGCCCATCTCCTCGGGGCAGCTCTGCACCGCTTCCAAACCTCCTCCTGGGGTACCACCGCCCTCACTCCCCCAGCGAGACTCAGCTGCGCCTCTACACGTCCTGCTCATCCTGGTGTGGTTTAAATTGGTGTAAGAAATACCTCCCAAGTGTAAACAAGGCTTCAGACTTTAAAGGTGTCTTCCAAATTACAATATGCAAATATGTCTCTGTCAGACGTTTTGAAGAGAAAGGCCTCACCCATTTAATGCCGTCAAATTCCTCGGGTGAGCCATGAGGATTAGTATCTTCTTTCAACCAGACAGGACCAAACTGTTTCAAATTAGCAGTTCAAGATTTGTTTGGCTTCCTCTCGAGTCCTAATTTAGATTTGTCACCCACAAATTATGTACGCTAAGTAGTTAACACCAAAGCTAGTCATCTACAATCTATTGCAACGAAGGAGGCTGACAAGAAATCCTTCAAAGTCTTGATAATAATGAAGTTTACTACCTTTTACATGTTTGACTTCTACCACTTCTGAATCCTGTAGCAAAAGCCTTGGGGTAGGAGTCAAAAGGTCGGGGTTTTTTTTTTATATAAAGTAAAGCAAAAGCTTACAAACTCTGCTGCCAGAGTTCTCTCTCTCTCTCTTTTTTTTTTTTTTTTTTTTTTAAGGATGGTTTAAAATTCATTTACAAAAGCAGAATAATAAGGTTTCTGTGAAAGAGACCTATATACAGTAACAGGACGTAAAGGTTGTTTTGTGTATTACAGGAAAATATCCTTGAAGCCTTTATGACTCTGGAGTCTCTGGGACTTGGACCCTTGGAAACTAAGTGTATTCCACTGCTGGGAACCCAGCACTGTCTAGTAATAAGTGAGACAATGAAGCACAAGTTGGTTTTCCAGAAGGAACCAAAACTGCCGTGTGTTCTTTTGGAAGGGAATGGAGAGACTGACGTTAAGATTTGTGTGGTGAAGTCACTTTTATCCTGCTGGTGCCAATTTGTAAAAGTTGGAACTTCCTTGCCTCTTGCACTGGTCTCAGAGTGACACTGTCTGCTCAAAGTGCAGAAAGCTCGAAGAGTTCTACATTCTTCTGTAGTGCAATCCTTTAAAAATCCCAGAGATTAGTGCCTGATCACTTTTGAAAAAAAGTAGAACATTTTACCTAGCCCAGGGGTGCCAAAGTCCTTCTGGCAAACGGCCACTCCTACCTTCAGCCTCCAGCTTCCACTTCACAACGTAGCTGCCCTGGAGTCAGACATTTCACCTTAGAAAAGTCCACGTTATGGCAACATTCTCCAGCCAAAAAAAAAAAAAAAAAAAAAAAAGGTTGGTGGTTGTATTTGGGACAGAAACTGCAGCTGGCCAGCCCCACCATCCATCCATCCAGGACGCATCGGTCCTACGACACGTGGTCAGAAGTTCCAACAACAAGATCCAAGCTTGAATTTGGCAATCAAAAATGGGTTTGATGCACCCCTAAGCTAGATTTTCTACCTAGTCTAATAAAGTAAAGCACCTTTGGATTAAAAAATACATTAAGCTTAACAGCAACTGGACGTCTCAGTTTTGTAGTTCGATCTCCTTATATCTCCATGGCTTACAGTATTTTTCTTGCCGGATGATAAAATATCAGTCTGTGGAGTCCAGACTTTCAGAAGGAGGAGCATATTTCAGCCTAAACGTACCTGGAGGAGAGGAAACAGAGGAATTAAACATCATCAACCTTTTCATGCCCATTACATTAAGACCAAAGAGACAGTGTCACTTCTTCCCCATTGACCACTATCAAAATATTAGCCACAGAAACTCCACTAATTAGTTAACATTTTAACACTGCTGTAAATCTCTGCCTCAAAACCAGTCACTTGTTAATTTCTAGTGGCCAAACACTTGAGACCTTGTCTGCACTGTATAGAAACATACACAGACACACACTATAGACAAGACACACTAGAAAATATAAGACCTTGGTGCTGTTTGCTTCGGTCAAAAACTTTTTAAGCCCACACCACATGCAAATTATCTCAATGCAATATGTCAATCAAAATGAAAAAATAATGACACTAGAAGGTGTTCTTGGTAACATAATGTTTCTTTCTGTTTTTTCCTGCCTGGATTTAAGGATTTCAGCTTTCTGCTGGAGAGGCCCATGCTGTGACCATGTCAAAATAAGTTCAGCAGCAAACGTGGGACCTTCAAGAGCATTTGAACAGTAGTTCTTACTATTTTGGGGAGGAAGGGAAAGGGGGAACAGAGATGTTCAGTTTGTAAACTTCCAGGGGAACTTGCAGTTATCCCCAAATATGAGCTGGATAACAAGGTATAAGCAGCAATAATTCCTCTGGGATCTGTCCGCTGAAGCTCCCTCCCTCTCTCCCCCCCGCAGCAGACTGGGGGCTGGCCTTCTCTCCTCCCCAGAAACCAGCAAAGACCCTCAGAGCACCCAGGTCTGACCCAGGACCACTAGGGCCCCATCCTCACGTTGGGGCACAAAAGTAAGTTTCATCTTCTGTTAATTATAGCTCAAACCTGCCAGCTTTCAAGAATAAGATTTTTTTTAAGGAGGTTGGAAAGAAAAAGCTACGTGATGGCCATCAGAGTCTGCAGGTCTCAGGTCCGTGGCCATTTCCCCGGGCTAAGGGCAACACTCTACGTGTCCCACGTCCCCCATCCGTCCCTCCGCCCGCCCTCACCTTGTCGATTGAAATCCATGGGAGGCTGTTTGCAGTCCTGAGCTCTGTGACCACTGGCCCCGCAGTTGTAGCAGGAGAGATTCCCATTTTTTTTGTGAGCGGCCCCGTTGCCGTTTCCCATCATCCCCTGTGCCTGATACACCCCCGCCGTCCCCGCCATAAAGTTCTGCATCGGAGGGACCGCAAAGGTGGACTGCCCGGTCATGACGGAGTCGGGAGCGATGCCGCTGTTGTAGGCGGTGTGGACCACGGGGAAGGTGGTGCTGCTGTTGTACTGCTGCGTGTTGATGTAGCCGTTGCTGCAGAGAGGGTTGAAGGGCAGGAAGGGGAAAGTAAACATGGAAGGTCCTGAAAAGGGGTGCTGGAAATAGTTAGCGTAGCTGACGGTCATGCCGCTGGAACCGCAGTTCCCACTGCAGCCGCAGGAGCTGCACACCATGCACCCCGGCGGCTGCGGCTGCTGCTGCTGCTGCTGCTGCTGTAGAAGTTGTTGTCGGCAACGGAGGAGAGCGTGGGGCTGGAGCTGGGCGCGGGGCAGCTGGGCAGGTTGGCCATGGTGGCAAAGGAGGTGGAGGGGTGGCTGCTGGAGGAGGCGGCGTTGCTGTTGGCGCAGAAGCTGCCTTGCATGGGCGCCACCGGCACGCTGCTCATTGCGGAAAAGGCAACTTTGGTGTTGGCTGTGTACAGAGCAGTCCGGGGGTTTATTATTGCAGGGGACACCGTTATTTGCATATTACTGGAGCAGGAAGTCTGTCCGGCGATGGCAGAATCAGTAGGAAGAGACGAAGACACCAGGAGTTTGATGGGTGGACGAGCCACGTGGAAGACTGTGCTGGATGTTACGGTGGCAGCAGTGCTCGTTTCTACTATTAATCCCGGCTGCTGAGCTGTTTTAATCACTCTGTCCAGAGTCGAGGCGTGTACGACTTTGGTTCGAGGACCAAAGTTGATGGTAGATGTGGGTGAGCTGTTCTCAGCAGCCCCCGACAGCACTTGCAAGGACTGGTGGGGAGAAGACGCAGACATTACATCCACCACGGTATTTCCAAAGCTCTTTTCCATTTTTATGCTGCCCCTAGGTCCAGGAGAAACTTTATTTCTTTCTTCTAAAGATAAAAGCGAATGCATAGACGATGAAAGTAGCTTCATGTCTGCATTGCCACGGTCTGATTTATGCACTGAATTTAGCATCCGAATGGGGGTGATGTGAGTGGAGGCCGCTGACATCATTTGCATTGGCAGCGCGTGGTGGCTGGACGGATTGGAGCCCGCGTCGTTCTGCACTGGTAAGACCTGAGCCGTGGGTCTGGCGGAGCTCGAAGTGAAATGATTGAGTAACATCACCGGCTTCTCCTTCTCTGAGCCGTCCAAGTGAATCTCCAAACCTAGGGAGAGAAGAACCTATAAATACAAACGCTTCACCAGACAAAGCTGGGAATATGGACACCCTTCTCGGGCATTTCTGCTTACGTCTCTCGTTCTCCTCGGCGCTGTCGGAGCTCTCCTCCCTCGTCTGGATCCCCATGGGGCTGGAAGAAGAGCTGGAGTACTCGGAAGAGCTGCCCTCCCGGGGCAGTGGGTGGGCTGGCTGATCCACGTCCACTCGCAGCTCTGCAGGTAAAGGGGGTGTGAGCAACCAGGGAACGCAAAAGAGCGGTAACACCTACTTGACAGGACATAATTACAACTGTTTGACCACACCACCTCTCAGTGATGGCTCAAGCTGTACAGAGATACACATTGGCAAAGAAGCAGGAGTTTGGAGGCGTAACTAGTCACTGACTAGTGCAGTTAGCCATTCCCATGGGAGCCATCAAGAGGAAACTACTTTTTATTACACTCTGTATAGAGAAAAATTGGATTTTTTGATTGCTCCCTATTAAGCCGATGGCATTTTGGAAGATAAAACTTATGCCAGGTTGGTGAAAAAGCAGTAAAAGAATGAGCTCACTCTTGTGCCAGGACATATTCAGCCCTGGGAGCACAGCAGGGTCCTCTGCTCCTCTCTCTCACCTGCAGCATGGTTGCCACGGATGCTCTGGATGGGTCCCACATGCGTCGTAGGAGGAACCCTGGCCACACCACTGCTGGTAACTGAAGAAGGTGTTGTGGGGTTTAGGCACCGTTTCTCCGATTTTTCTCTACAGGGTGATGGAAAAAGGTGATGAAGAAACAAGAACGGGCTGAAGCACAACAACAGACGAATCAATTTCTGAATGAAACTAAAGCAGACAAAGCCCAGGAAATAATCCACTAAAATGTTGTGCTAATTTCAAATGGAAACATTCTGAAATGACATCAATCTTGACCACAGCTTCTTGCCAGCAGTTACATTTGGACTATTTGCCATCTGATTACAACAATAACGCTCTTATTTGTACAAGGTAAAACATCACCAAATGGTGACTAAATTCCACCACATGTTACGTAAGTGTGTCCCAAACCCAGCCGTGCCCACCACAACCAAAGAGAAGCCAAATGCAGTCCAAAGCTTTCCTTTTGCAAACACCCTCTAGAAAAACTGAGACTGATGAAAAATACCATCAAGGAGCTTTGATAAATGGGCATGGATCTGGATTTTTTAATTGCTTTTTAAGTAACTGCAGTAGCTGCAGAGTAAACATTTCCATCTAAGTGGAGATATAAAAAACAGGACAATCTGTTGCGTCAGTTTCCCCAAAGGGCTATTCATATTACACAGAGCACTGTCCTCCTTTAAATCTCCTTCACCACCCAAAGCTGTGAGTTTCCTGAGACCAGGGTTACCTGCACCAGCCCTGACTTTCAGTGCCTTGTCCCCATACAAAGTCAGAAGCCCAGATCCTCCATGGGTGTCATCTGGCAACCCGCACCACAGTCCCGGCAGTCAGCAGGAGCCCGAGCAGCTGCTGCAGCCACAGCTGTCTTGGGTGACCGTGGGACACCCAAGGGGCTCTCAAAGTAGCTGTGCTCCATCTGCGCTGGCTGGAAGCCCAAAAAATTGTCAGGCCTTACGAAGAAAAAGCCCTGCTGGAGTCCTGACTTTCTGTGTGCAGCACCGGAGCTCACAAACTACAGCCCAGCGACTCGCTTGCCTGATTCCCTCCTACCCCATGGATCTCAGGTGGGTGGTAAGCCCAAAATCTGGATGGGCTTTGCACATCTGCTTTACAATCCCTTTTATATAAGTTTTTTAAAAAAACACCTTAGTGACAGTATGTATATTTTGTAAATTATTTAAAACCACAAACCCCACAGCCCAGCGACTCGCTTGCCTTATTCCCTCCTACCCCATGGATCTCAGGTGGGTGGTAAGCCCAAAATCTGGATGGGCTTTGCACATCTGCTTTACAATCCCTTTTATATAAGTTTTTTTTTAAAAAAAAACACCTTAGTGACAGTATGTATATTTTGTAAATTATTTAAAAAATGTCCCCTTCCTTAGAAGAGCTGTCAATGTGACAGGTGAAGACAGAAGACAGGCAGTTATGTTATAGCTGGGTTGACATATCCTTGTAAAAGGGACTTCACAAATTCTTCACACTTGGTTGTCCTCACCACAACCCCGACCAGGCAACAGTAAACCTCTAAGTGCTAAATATTATCTAGTCAGCCCTGCTTTCACCAGTGTTTCACAGTAACCAACACAAGGGCAGAGAAAGGGAGATAAGCATTACCCATATTTACAGGTGGGAATCCTGGTAGCTTTATGGTCTGGAAAGCAAAGACCACTGTAAAACTTGCATTAAATATCTTATGACCTTAAAAAGAGGTTTTTTCCCATCACTTACTTCTCCAACTCGAGCTGGGTCTTGAGCTTCTTCTTGGCTCCCATGGTGAGGGATTCAAACTTATTCAGATCTTCCTCAGTAAGACTCAGAAACTTGTAAAGAAAAATTGTGTACTTAGTTTTTATACCCTAAAACATTCTTATTTGTATTTCTGAAAAACAACTTTAGAGCTATTTTTTTAACAGATGTTAATTGAAAGAAACTTTCTACTCCAGTTTTACATTATAGAATCAATACATAATAAAAGTGTAGGGGACTGGCATGAAAGAAAGAACATTTGTAGATTAAATTTAATTAGGTGTGTGCTTATATTAACTATTAACAATAAAGATGAATTCGTGTACATACTAAAATAGAACTTTCTGTTATAAATGAATTTAAGGATATGTTTGTCTTAAAAAATCTCTCTAGTTTTCCTAGTTGTGTCATTTAACACAGAAATCAATGCGCATTCATCTCATCAGTTTAGTTGGAAAATGTACTCCAAATTGTAGAATAAAATATGGACATGGAATATGAAAATGAAATATATAAATTTGTAATATAATGTGATGAAAATTAAAGCCAGCAAAGTATACTGGCAAATACATGCTTTTTTAAAACACACTAGAATATGAACAGAACACACTAGAATATGCTACTTCATTCAAAAAACCCCACTATGCATTTTCCCCTCACGTAATGAAGAAAATCAAATCAGAAGACTCGGGTAACAGATTCTAATTAAATACATACAAAAATACTATAACCAGCACAAAACCATCCCAGTTTAGACCTGGCTCAACCTAAGCACTTAGTCCACTGGAGGGCGTTCAAGGCTAGAAGACAGTAAGAGGACATGATTTTACAGATGGAGCTGAGTAAATTCTATAGAAGTATCCTATTTAGATAAAATCCAGTACACGTAGGTACTATTTGTGACTCCTACTATGCACACACGTAAGCGATTGCTTTTCCATAAGAACTTCTGCAGAAAACAAAAACCTTGACATTCACTTGCAGGTACGTGCAAACACTAATGTTCTTGTCAGAAATCTCTGTGAATCTATTTTTTTCAAATAAGGATAACCAAATATTTTGGGAGAAAAAAAAAAAATCTAGAAGCAGAAATTTAAAAAACCAACAAATTTTTGTTCTCTATTGCACATGAAAGAGATGCAGGGAGCCAGCAGAGTTCTTGCAACGTTGTACAAGTTGGATCTCCAGGCATTTGGTGAAGGTTTCTGGCAGCTGTTGAACAGCCCAGGCCCCAGACACAGCACAGCTCGAAAATAGAAAGAAGGTTTTCATCAAAACCTTACTGCTTTAAGAGAGTGCAAACCTTCACAGCATTTGCCAAGAACTTCTGCAATTCTAAAGGCAGATGTTTGCAGCCTCTCTCTCTGCGCTAGAGAATATAAGGATAATTTAAAATCTGGCTCCCTTTCCTTAATTTACTGCCCTACCTTCTCCATGGTGAGCTGTTTGAAGACAGGATAGTATTTGTGCAACCGCAGTTTCCTGAGCCAGTCTAAGATCCCGTTTTGCTCCTGTGTCTGAGGGGTCTGTGGACTGGAAGACATTAACATGGGTGAAGAAGAGGTGTCCATCGGGGTGCGATAGGCCAGCGACGAGCCCGTGCCTCCGGCGTGGGAGCAGTGGGGTAGTGCAACGGGGGCAGCAGCCGAGTGCTGAACGTGGTTCTGAGAAGCCTGGATGCCAGCCACTCCACAGATAGGCCTGCAAAAACAGTAAGATTATGTGATTTATCACACTGAATCTGTATCACCCAGAGTTCACCTACTACAGCCATATATATAACCACCACTTCCAGGATTTCTGGTAAAACCTACACTGATTTGTACCTATGTGTTCAACAGCACACTAAAAACAGTGCAGTTGGGGGCAAATAGTAAGCTTTATCTTCAGCTTAAGCTGAATTTTCCTTCTATAATCACACATAATATATGTTCTACTACCTCTGTGATTAGAAAAAGGTTTAGGGAGAATGGGTGTGGTTCAGCTTTGCATTATTAAAAAGAAGCCCAAACATAATCCTGTGGATTTTATTATTTTTTTTTTATGTGGAAGTGGCAAAATAACCCACAATATTGGCTCCTTGGAGGGTTCTGTTTTTTGTTGGAGAAAATGAAAATCACCTCTTAAAAGAATGAATTCTGCATTTGTTAAATCCTAACAAAAGGCAAGAGAATTTCTTTCCTGCTTTTCCCTGGGCTGACTTGTACCTCCCTTAGAAGAAGTTTCCTTCCTCCCTCTGAAAGGAAACCCCTGCTTTATAAGGGAACATTCAAATATGCTGCAGAGAGAAAAACCCTTTCATGATGCTCTGGTCTCCCTTTGCCCACAAAGGATGGGGGTGACCAGATCTGGGCCTACAATTGGGATGATCATTATTCCTTTTAAGTATGTGATTGAGACCATTTTTACTCGGGCATTAAGCAGCAGATCACAGAGAAATCATCCATCACTGCTGAAGTGTTGATGCCAATTAGTAGTTACAGCTTTAAACAATTTGAAAAACGCTGCTTAGAACGGGTGTTCAGTGGTTTTACAACCAGCAGGAACACTGCAAATAGGTTCCCCTAAATTCTTCCCTGAACATACACATTTCTTAGGCCAAGAGAGCCACCACTGATTTCGTAACCGCCCAGAGATTCTGTGACAATCGCAGAGAGTTTGGTCCAATGGTTGTTACATTTTATATCCTTTACTTTTGAAGCTGAAGTTGAATTCTATCTTCTATTTCCAGTAATTATGTCCTGTTATAGTTTGCCTTGCAAACTGTCTGTTACTCAACTTTTGTTGTCTATGAGATCAACTCACTGCAAAACTTTTCTTCAAGCAATTACCCATACTGAGCTCTTGCAGTTATTATTATAAAATGTCATTTTTTAAAGCATTTAAAGAGTGAACAAATGGCAACACTATGAATGCTAGTACCTTACACCGATATCCTTACCATCTGTCTGTTTTGATCTGGGCAGATCACACACCAAGGCTAGAATTTCTTAAAATCTTCTCCAGATGAATATGAAAGTGTAGACTCAAGTAAATCCCCAAGGGGAGCCAGATAATTACCTACGTCATGGGTTTTTACAACTAATCAGAACAAGCATAAACAAAAGAAGTATTTCACCTTCCAGATGTTCCCAGCGTAGTTCCCACTTTATAAAGGGAAGGGTTGCCAGGATCTAAAAACAGGGAACAGAAGTTACAAATGGCATTAGTTTCTGAAGTGCACATCAGTAAAAAAAATTAAAAAAAAATCATTTATAAATTTCATTTAAACTTACTTGAACTCTGAAGTTGCTGTGAAGGAGATGAAGTGCTGAAGAACTTTCTGACGTGGTCATTTTTCACCACATGGGAAGGTAACGGTGCCAAATACCTGCATGTTCATCAAAAGTAAACAAACCCCCCCAATCTGTTATATCTGTTTTGCAGCTGCCTGTGCCATCACGACTGTAGACTGGACGATAAATTTTGAAATTGAACTTGAAATTTTGAAACTAAAACATAGAAGACCTTCCAAATCAATAACACCACGCAAATCTGATTCAAAGTAGATTTGAAACGCAGAGATATTCTTGTCCTTAATACTACTTAAACACGTGTTACCATTGGGTTGCTTTCACTTTGTTTAGTGTTTCAGTAAAGATGCGTATTTTAGGAACACTGAACATTTGTAAGGCAGAACATGTTCAAATATAAACTTGAAAATTTCCTTTCAAATTCATGAACCTGAAAACCATAAAAGATAGATATATCTGTTATTTAATTTTCTCCTCTTTGAGATAAACAGCAGATGCAGAGTCTGGCAGTGTAGGGAAAAAGGCTGTAAAACTTACGTCACATTTTCCCTGGGATTGCTGTGCCTCTTTTGGGTGAAAAAAATGGCAATTTCCTAAAACTTTGCAATATATAAAGTGCGTTCTATCAACATGACTAGACTTCTTGTTGTTATGCAAACTTGACTGCCTTCTGCCAAATCTGAAAAGGTATAAAAAGTTCTTTAAAAAAGAGAGCACATTGACCGTATCTATGTATTTGTCATTTCAAAAAAAAAGTCTTTTTGAGTAAAAAAATAATTCAGTTACACACACGCACGGATGTGCTTTCCACCTTGAAAAATCACAGCTCATTTCTAAATTTTTCAAAGCTTAATGGAACTGCTTCTTTCTCTGCTCCAAAGAGACAACCGTTGCTGTGTAAACGCAGATTGCTGCTCTATTAACCTAGATTTGTAGAGACTGTTGCTAACTCAACAGCAGCAACGTGCAGCCTCCCTCACCCTCCCTAATTCTCAGCGATGGGCTCTGATCCTCGAAGAGCAGAAGGAACCGTTTGAAACGTTAACGCCGTTTGCCATGAAAAATAATCCAGGCACGCACCTGCTGGCTCTGACTATGGAAAAACAATATCCACCAGGGCTCTGCCAACGGGGGACAAAAGCCTGTCTCCACTTAGGGAAAATAGATGTTGAGCTGAAGCTCTAATAAAAGTTAATTAGTATTTTAAAACGTCATTTAATACTTCACGTAAATACAGACAGTAGTAGGTGAAAATAATTCAAGTCCCTCAGATTTTCCTAGCAAAACTATTTCAGTATTTAGAAAGAGAATTGATGTGACCTGCCACAGATGATGACTTTTTAAATGGTGTTTGAGATTAGATAATGTTCAGGTGATTTGTGATGATGTGAGGAGGCTTCAAAAGGTCTAAGGCTTCAAAAATTTCCTAGCTGTTAATGGCTTTCAAAAATTTAATGGCTATACCGTATACATACATACCTACCTTTTTTAAATTAAAGCAAAATAAACACCACAGGAACCTAAAACAACAGGGACAGTAAAAAAAAAACCTCATCCCTCAGTAGAGAAGGATAATTATTCAGGCAGTTATTTTTTCCTGAGTTTCTGGCTGGTTTTTTTTAAAGCAGTTTTGGCTCTTTTTTGAGCCCAAACCAAGTTTCTGCAAAGCCAATGATCCTCTATTTGTTTTTTGAAGGAATGAGGAAATGTCAGTTCTCCAGGAAGCTTAATACAGAATATTATTACCATCTGTATTTCTGAAGAAAGAGTTCCTGAAAAATTCTTATGCACTGGAATTATCAGAACATCAAAAGCCAGCATACCTAAGGTCCGATTCCAGGTCCACGTGGTTCCGGTCTAAGTAAAATGAATCTGGACCAGCGAGGCAAGGAATGAATTTCTCCAAGTTTTCTTCTGGATACAGCTGAGATAGCTAAAGGCGGAGGATATTACAAGCAATAAGTGATAGGCCTTGTTACTCATATGAGATTCAAGGCACAGCAATTTAGAAAGCAAACATTTTATGAAATTCAATCTGTCTGTATTATCCCAGTACAGTTTGTAAAATGTTATTAAGTAAAATTACATACAGGGACAAAACATCACTCTGTTTTCGAAGTATTTTTCATTTTGCCGTTACCTTTGAAACAAATTCAGTCACTTCAGTGGAAGATTTGGTTACCAACGTCACTGAAGAATCAGACCACAGGACCTTAGGAAGTAAAAAGCATACAGTTCAGTAACTAATAGTCAGGGATTGAAGTCTGGTTCCAAAAGATCAATAATAGGTATCAAATATCCCCCACAGGCTGCGAGGAAGTTTGTAACGCGTGACATCAATAAGGAAAAACTTTTTTGGTGCACAAGTAACTATTACTCAGTCCTCCCTCGCTGCCCGGTTCTTGCTGTTATTATACTTAATGACTATTCTGAATGCTTAAAAAAGCACTTCATAGTTTACACAGCCACTGCACGCTGCAGACATCCAGTATTAAGAAACAGACTCCTAAGTAATGGAAATTTTTTATTCTTATTATTCTTGTTAAAGAAAACAGCTGGTTTGTAGAATCTGATGTGCAATACCAACAACACTCCGCAGCACAACAGTGCCTATTTATAATTAATAACTCCATATGCCACGCAAAGATGAAGATGGCAGCAAAATCATCCCGCTGCAAAAAAAAGGGCAAAACCTGAGAAAGGAAACCTGCAGTTCCTGCTCTAGCTACGGGCGTCAGGCTCCATCTTGTATGTGCCCTAGAAAAGGGAAAGAGCTCAGCATCTCTCCCCATACGCTTTCTGCATTAAGTCATGACATTCTTAGATACAGAGGCATTTATTGGTTGGTAGATGATTAGTTGAACTGAGCCAAAAAGTCAGGATTTCTTGGCAGGGAGAATATCAGCACGAGAACAGCCAATGATAAGTCCCTTCAGAGCAAAGATCTCTTTTTCAAGGCGCCTGAAAGCGTATGGATCTTCGGTGCTATAGGGGAAGAAACTGGGTTTACGTGTTTAAGAATCCGGAGGCCGTCTTCTCACATGACACCAGTTTCAATGACAACTGAAAACATACACAAAGTTTTTCCAGCCATCAGAAAGCTGCCAAAAAGACTGGTGAGAGGAGAGTATTTCAAAATATATTACATAATGGAGGAATTTCCTCTCTGCAGAGCTGTTACACAAAAAGTAAAGGGGGAAAAAAAAAAAAGAAAAGAAGAAAGAAAACTGTTTCTGGTTTTACAAAAGCCTGTGGGGTTTTTTTAAGTTCATGATAAATTAACACTTCTTTAAATTCACGAGAAATTTCAGAAAATATAGGAGAAGTTTCTCCTTCTTTCTCGTTTTGTAATAACCCAACATTTGTTACAACTTGGTGTAATTTTCAATACTTATAAAACAATAATGTGAACTGTAAACGCAGGGAACAATAGCATCGCCAAGCGATGCCGAAAACACTAAACTGCTCTGTCTATTGACCTTCTATTCCCAAGCTACGAAACAAAACATTTAATAGTTGGGTTTCTAACCCAGCAAACAGCAATTTATTAGCTCAGCTAAACTATGTGCTGTTCTTTCAGTTACAAGCTGTCAAGTGAAATACTGGTAAAAGTAATTTCTGGTATTTATAGAAAAATTTATAATAGGAAAAGATGTTTCACAAGATGTGACTGGAGTCTAGACAACTGCATACTTCAGGAAAATTTTTCAAACCCCTTGAAAAAATCCTTTCTAATATTGATGACATTTGGAACAATCACGGGATTCAGATAATTCAGAACATTATCCATTAATCAAGTCACGCAGAGATTAATGCTCCCAACATCACAAGAAGATGCTGAACTGAGGCTCGATCTTGAGTGGGAGTTTTAAAGAAAAACTTTTTTTGGGGGGTAAAAGCTGTAGATAATTGAAATTCTACTGTCCATGTTCTTTCGGGTTCTCCTTTTCTCACCAACTGTTTGGCTCTGTTGCCTCATTAAGCAAACCAAAGACATTTTCTGGGCTTTGCATTCTACATTTTGGAATACGTCGTTCCAGCTAGATGGGAGAAAAGCAGTTTGTCATTCTTCCTCGCCAGAGCCCAGACTCCAGGCTCCGCTATTAACAGAAGGTTTCACAGAATGAAGTCATCCCTCCACAGAAATTGTGTGCAATGACTGAACCTCCAAAAACTGAGTAAAAAACCGGGAAGGGGGGTGGTGGGGGGAAGCCACTTCTCCTACCAGCTTGTGGCTAACCATGCTCATTCCAAAGAAACTATTCTCACTTCCAGTTTGAATTTGTCTGGCTCCAATTTGCAGACAACGGTTCCTCTTGTGCCTTTTTCTGCAAGATGAACGCCCCCTTTTTCCATAAAATATTTTCTTCCCTTTGAAAATGCTTTTATATGATAGTCAAAGTCATCTTGCAGTCAAGTTCTTTAAGTCTCTCACTACATAGAATTATCCTCAAGGCTTGAATAATTTCCATAGTTATTTTCTGTACTCTTCAACACCACTTTTAAAACCAGTAAGGCCTGAACCATAGGCAGAGTCTCACACTCTCCTCAACACTGAATGCAAAGATGAATGACCTCTTTTCCCATACGTGTAGCACTGCCCTAAGAGCCTAAATTCTCTTCTTTGTCCAGATGAAGATTTAAATTCTTTCTAGCTTCTGCACTCCAGCCCATTGATATCCATTCTCTACGTGTGGCGTGGTATTTTCCCCTAAATATATACCTTGTCATAATCTTCTTGTGAAGATTTTTATTTTTTTATTATCCACAAATACTCATCAACAGCAATTTCTGACTACTTCCAAATCATTGATTAAAAAATGTGACTACCATCTATCCCCCAGGAGCTTCACTAGACCAGCTTCTTGGATCTAAAAATAAGGTTTGAAAATTTAACTCCTCCTTAAGTATCATCCTTCCCCTTCTTTCATAGAAAAAAAACCACAACCAAACAACAACCAATCACCAAAACTTACCTCAAAGGAATATTCAACATTTCTTTCATTTTTCTTGTGTGCCAGTCCCTTTAATTCCACTTTTTCAACACTCACTATGAAAAAACAGAGAGATAAGGAGAATGAGGAGGATATCCTCATGTGCATGCAATAGCAAGGACTCTTTGGTAGTGCCAGGACTTGCCTCGCTGGGTGGATGGGAAGGTTGGTACCACTGCTCTGTGACACACTCAATTCCAGCCTCAGCAAGGCTTCTTTTCAACCAGCACCCAAACCAACACACTCAATGCAAAGGTCTTTACCTCCTCGTGGCCTTATCGTACCGCTCATCGGCGTAATAACAGAACGCCGCACCCATACATGGATTTATCTTAATAACATCAAGAAGCAAATACCATCCCTCCGAGGGAAAACTGGAGCACAGAGAAACAAAGACGGGCAAAAAGTCCCCGTGTTTTCAGAGGTTGATTTTGCAAGTGGTTTGGTGTGGTTTTATTGCTGTGTTGACATCACGATTCCTCTTTGACTGCGCTTTCATGGAAAATTTCAGCCTCAATTACCGCAATTTGAGTAAAGTTGTCAGTAAAAACAGGATCTTACTGTGGAAAGGGTGGAATAACAGTACAGGTCACTGCTTCCATCCCCAAGTATGATACGCAGCCTTTAAAGACATGATCTTACGCATCAGATACTTGATATGTTACATTCTTGGAGACTCTTATTTCTCAATACACACAGATCAGAAATTCCACCACGCTAAACTTCACAGAGATTATTTTACTGACTTTCTATTTCTCTTGCAAGTTTCTCCTGCCTTTTGACTGCACACATGGGGATACACAGACAGAGTTTTTCTTATGAAAAGCCAATTTACATTGCCTTATAAATTCAAAAGCAATTATACTAAAACAAAGTCGCTACCGTTTTACCTCCAAGAGACAGGTGCTTGAAGGGATGTGTGCTGTGTATATTGAGTTTCTGCTCTGTGGTTCTAACAAGCGAAACCCAGAGCCCTACCACTTTGTTTCCAGGGGACTGCCATTTACAAGATGTTTACCTATTTTCAAGACTATTTGTACACTATATTACCTGCAAGACTCAAAGCTGTATTTATCATGTGTGACTTCCTCATAACACAACTGCCTGATAAAACAGTTTCAGTGCAAAAGTCACAGCGATGACATTACCCCAGGCAACTCCTTCCATCAGCCCCACAGCTCCCCATTCCCCGCAGGGAGACTTCAGCCAAAGCCACCCCGGTGCCTGTCTGGAGCTTGATCTTCCTCTACCTGAAAATAATTGTGACCTGAAATCTTTATTGTGGCCATCTCAGCTGCTTTAAAGACCTCCTCTCCGAGTCTTATTTATTTGCAGCTGAAATGTTTAGAACTGGCAAGTTTTAAATAGATCTACAGATGTTCACGCTGCTCTTTAAAATACAGAATCAACATTCATATGATCCTCTCAACCATCCCTTCTCCATGTAATTCCCAATTACAATAGCATAAATCCCTGAGCTTATGAATAATGTCTGTTCATTACTTACTACTTTTTTCTGCATATTATGCTTTTTGTAGAGACTCGCTCCTCTTAAAGTTTTCAGCAGATTCCTCTCATGCTTCTGAAATTATTTTACAGTACTACTGTGCTCTTACACCACAGGAATACATCTTCTGCACACCAGATATTCATGAGCTATCTAGACAGTATGTAGCACCATGAAGATTTAAACATGCACATGGTTCAGAGGTTTTCTTGCCATTTTAAGAAAAAAAATCTACCTCGGCACACTTTCTTTAAGAGAATTCAGGGCACCCTTAATTGTGATCACAGTTAAAATATACTGAATATTGATGGGAATTATATGTACTTCAGAATTATAATTAGAAAGAGCTTGTAAAGTGGATATTGAGAGGGGGTATCACCATACTGTCGGTGAAACAGCTGAGGGATGAGCAAACAACATGTAGACAGCCTAGTGCCAACTGCTGCAGCATCTGTTTGTGGAGCAGGACAAAGAAAGCCAGAAAGTCATAGCGAGTGTTCGTTCACATTTGTCCTTTATAGCAAATTTAGTCTGACTTTGCTGAAACCATTCTTACCATTGGCATTTCTACAGTATTCAAATGCCATCCCTTCTATCTAGTCATTACTCCTCTGCAGTAATTCGAGCAAAATAGGATTACCTATCAATAAAAAATAAAGCTATTTCTGTTTTACTACGTGGATTAATAACAAACTTTAAATCACCTCGTGGATTCTGTTGTGCTGACAGTTACACGACCTTTTCATGCTCAAGTTCTGAGCTGAACTTGTCTGGTCAATGTAACGTGCTGCAGTGAAATTATCCTCTGGAAAATGACTGCAATTAGCAAAGGTTGAATCATTAGGTAGATATTTCTGCACTGACTTGCAGTGATTCTAAACTCAACCTTGTAACATTAGCGTCTGTTGTAGAGCATGAAATATAGTTCTGTGCAGCAGAATATGCTTCTAGGGACAATTGACTGGATAATTTCTAATATTATACAAAGTGCCCCAGTAATTTTCTCCCCACTAGCTAATACTGTGAAAAATATCATTCATCCAAAAATTCTAGAGCTCTTGTTTCATTTGTCAAGTTGCACATGTTTGTTATGTGGCCTCTCACATACTCTTCGTATTATTTAGCTTGTGGTGGATGTTATTAAAATAGCCTCCCTAAACCTACCATGAAGCTTAACTTTATTCAGAGCAATCAATCACACAAAACTCAGGAAGAAAAAGGTGCCATCTACCCAGCAGGAGTGAGTGGATATTAAATTTGCTGTCTAACAAATTTTCAAGTAAAAAAAAAAGGAATTGTTTTTTACTATATTTACTCTCAATTGCTCAAAGAGCTGACTCTACCCAATATTGCTATAAATGATTCCACGACCAAAAAATAAAAAACCTTTATACGGAATTAAGGACACATGATACTGTTATCTCTTCAGGATGCTGAATTCAGCAAAACTCAGGCTTCCCAACCCAGGGGATTAAAAAAAAATAAAATTAGCATTACTAGTTGAGGAGTGAGTCAGAGCAAGTATATTTGTGGTACTTTAAAATCCGAGCTTTAGGTCCGGAACTAATAAATGGGAGCTCATCCACAAGATGCTCTCCACGTCAGGGGTTGTTGTTGTTGTCCATGGGGCAGACCCTAATCAGGGTAGCCTGGCAGGGAATCCTTGACAACACGAAATCACGGAGACGTACCCTTCCGTCTGCTCTTCTCCCCCAGACAGGCTGCTCAAAGCCTCATCCAACAAGGTAAAACGGATCCAGTGAGTTTGAAGATGTTTTAGTCAGTTCCATTTTCCTATTTTAGCCTGGAATTTTTACCCATTTGGCTGATATTAGTGCATTTGTCATCCGATCAGTTGAGTATTTCTATGAAGGCACAGACAACTCCTTCCCTCTCCTCCCAACCAGGTATTAAACCTCTGGTTTCCTTGATGCCAGCCACTGACCAGCCTCTCTCTTCTGAATGACCAGGATCTTGGACCTTCTCCTTCTAAAACATCAGCAGTTACATAAAGTGAAGGACCAATTGAAACGTTTTAGGCTTAGCTGGCCAAGGTCAGGGTAAAACATGCAATGGATGTGGGCAAAGCAGGAAAGACATCATTTTTGGAAGCCACCTTAATGTCCCATTGTAGGTGGTGTTTTTTATAACGCTCTTCTTTCAACTTCTGCATCAAGCCACTGTTAACCAGTAAAAGGACTAGAAAGATTAATGCCTCAATCCACACTGAGAATGTCTGCGTTCCTACTGAAAAAGTAACGAATTCAAGAAAGTCACATGTGTTGATTGAAGGCCCCTGTTAATAACATCCAGTATTTCAGCACTAACAGCAGCACTCTAGAATTAAATCAACCATCCATTCCACCAGTTGTACTGTGCAAATCAACATAATTTGTACCATTATGTTTTTCCTTTGATTTTATGAATACCTTTATACAGGGCTTTTCATTTTTCTTTCAGCAGCTTTCTTTACCAAAAGAAAACACACATGAGATTCTAAAGCTTCTTTTGTGCAACACTAGTCGAAAATTACAGGTAAAACTGCAAACCAGGGGCACAGCACGAGAGCTGAGGAACTGGGCTGAAGTGAATGACTACAAGAAAAAAATATTTATTTGCCACACGGTCTGAAGGAATAATTTCTAACTCCATACCTAGCAAGTTATTTCCCTTTTTATTGAGTCATTGTATGCAGGTTGAGTTTGCATGGCATTTTCCAACATTCAGGCAGTAAAATGTGAGTGTCGTGAGACTGGGTTGAACCTGGGCAGCTCTTGAGAAATGGTACTCGACAAAAAAGTAGAAATGCTACCATTTATTTTTAAGCAGGAAAACAATCCTAAGTAAAATTCTTTCATTTGTTCTACAAATACACGATCATAATTAATGCTTCTAGATTTAAGGATTTATTAGTTTTCATTCATGAAGTTGTGCCTTGATGGAAATACGCACTCAAACACAGCAAATGAATTCTTGCTGAGAAGGTCTAACTCAAAAAAAAGGAACTAATAAAATACTTTCCACATCCTTGTTTACACAGAAGTGGTAACCAAAAATGCAACACCAAGACTTTCACATGCCATCTCCTCTTGTTTTTCTAAAAGAAATACTTCAAAAGCAGCATTGCTCAATCACTGCTGTGCATTTAGACACCAGGAGGTAACCCCAAGCGACTGCACAAAAACTGGAAACAAAAACCCACAAAGTCTCCCCCCTCAGCACCCAAACCCACCAGTATTTATATTCCCATAGGTACAGGCAAAAGTCAGGGAAAGGAGGAGAGTTTACTCACTAGTTTCAAAGTATATTTATGGCCACAAAGCACATGAAACTGCAGTTTGGTGGTGGCTTTTTTTTTTTTTTAACAGGAAGATCAACTGAATTGTATCTGAGAAACTGCTTATAAGTATCAGCTTAAGAGGGGACTTTCGCCTGTTTTTTGGAAAACTTCCTGCCTTCACATTTCTGATCTTTTTAAAGCTTTTTATCTACGTTATGATGGAGAATGAAGAAAAAACTCTAAGATACATTCTTCTTATCAGCAAACAC